GCGTCGTTCTTCGACACCGTCGACCGGAGCTTCTGCAGGTTCTCCGCGACCTGGCGCGTCGCGAGCATGGCCTGCTCGAAGCGCGCGTCGACGATCTTCGCCGTCTCCGCGGAGCCGAGGCTCATCGCGTCGGACGCGAAGGACGACGCGTCGCCGGGGGCGCGGTCGACGAGCTTGCGCACGGCCCGCTCGACCTTGGCCAGGCGCTTCTTCAGGGACTTGCGCTCCTTGTCGTCCTCCGCCAACGAGTCGCCGTCCCGCGTCTCGTCGTCGTCGTCGAACGACGCGCCGCCCCACTTGCTCGGGCTCCCGCCGAGCTTCTTGACCTCGCTGACGACCCACGCGAGCTTCTTCTCGGCGTAGGGCGGCAGGCCCACGGGCTTGCCGTCGAAGGCGATGGTGTTCGGCGCGGGCATGCGGAGCATGAGGTACTCGAGCGACTTCTCGAGTTCCGTCGCGGACCGCTCCATCTGCGTGACGGCCTTGGCGCTCACGGTCGGCGGCGTAGCCTCGAAGGGCGACGGCGCCGGCGCCTCGCCGAAGCCGTCGAGGAAGTCGTCGACGCCGAAGACGGACTCGCCGTCGCTGCCCTGCGGCGCGGGCGCGGGCGCGGCGCCCGGCGCGGCCGCGGGCGCGAGGGACAGGTCGACGCCCGACGCGACGTCCTCGAGGGATTCGGGCACGTCGGCCTCGGCGAGCTGGTGCATCGCCGCGACCTCGTCCTTGTAGGGGAAGCGCATCATGATCTCGTTCGCCGTCCGGTCCATCAAGTTGTTCGTCACCGCGACGGCCGCGCCGATGCGCGCGACCTCGCCCTGGAGCGCCATGACCGTCTCCACGACGTCGTCGACGTCGTCGACGTCGTCCTTCCACGACGACGGGCCCGGCGCCGTGCCCGCGGCCGCGTCGAGCCGCGCGGACATCGTACTCGCGCGGTGTTCCAATTTCTCAGCTCTCTTGCCGACCTCGGCCAGGGCCGCGTCGAGGTCGGACGTCTTCTTCCGGTCGGCCTCGGCCTCGGTCGCTAAGGCGTCGATGCGCACCTCGGCGCCGCGGTGCGCGTTCGTGTTCCGCACGGCCTCCTTGTCCGCCGAGAGCTCGACGCGGTCCGCGCGCTCGAGGAGGAGCGCCTGCTTGACGCCGAGCTGGCGGAGCTCGTCGCC